TAATGTATTTCATTTGCAAGAACTAATATTTTATTTATTTGAATATGTATGCATATAATTAAGACATGGAAGGAATACATCAGTGATTGAGGTTAATATAATTCTAATATTTACCTGACAAACTAAATCTAGTCATTGGCTTCTTATTAGACATTTCAAGTATCAACAAACTCACTGTTTCATAGTACATTTTAATGTTTGGGGCGTTTCTGTTTTATAATACTCTACTAGTATCTTCAAGTAAATAACATATTGATGAGTAGGTAAAGGAGAATGGGATGAAAGCAGTGCTGTAATAAATATATTCTCTCTTGTATCTGACAGCTATTTAAACACACAACACCAGCTTAAGTCCTGACTATGTCTCTCCGGGTCCTTTAGTGCTTCTCATGGACAGTAGTGTAGAGGTTCCCACTCTCTACATGCAACAGACTCAGCTAGACCAGGTGTGATCTGAGCCGTGCAAAACAGAAATTACTGTTTCTTCATTTTGTACATGGACTTCCCGGAATGCAGCCCAGGACGGATTAAGCTTTTGGCAGGCCATCCCCCTGTTGACTCATGCTGTACTTGCCCTCAACTAAAACCATCAGGCACGTTTCTCATATATTTGGTATTAAGTCAAACCTTCCGTATCCTGTGTTTGTACGGCTCATTTTCTGGGCCCAAATGTAAGACTTTACATTTATTCCTATTAACTTTTTCTGTTTGATTCTCTCCGTTCTTCCAGATGCCTCTGTCATCATATACACTGTCAATGGCAACCTCTTCAATTCCTTGGAATTCATGGCTGATCAACAGGCCACATCACTAATGTCAGTACCTAGCAGGCCAGCATTAAAATACATGTTCAAGAAAAACTAGCAATATTCACAAGGCATAATTTCCCACACAACTAACAAATCTGCTAGAGTCACATCATCTGGCAAACAGTATTTCTCTGCATTAATCACAGGATGCTATGAGGTGATACAGTTTCTGACATCCAGGAAGTTTCCCTTACATGGTGAAGTCTGAGGTTAGAAGGGTTCTCAACCCTGCACTATTGGCATTTGGATTGGATAAATCTCTCCTGTGGAGGATTGAAGTCATGCATTGCAGGATGTTCAGGGATTTCTACCTAGTAAAAGGCAGTGAAACCTCCTGGTCCCCATCCTTTTGCAGTAATGACATCAGAAATGTCTCTACACATACCAACCTTCCTTGGCTGTGCAGTGGCCTCTGCCTACTGAGCATCATACATTCAAGACCCTGTGTTTCTATGAACTAATCTAGTTATTATGTGGTTTTGCTAACATTTTCATGGTAGAGTCAAGTATTCACACAAACTAATCATTCCTATATCAGGAATTAGATATGTAGGTAATTTATAAAAAAGATATGAATAATAAGAAAATAACCTCACAAATGAATAGAAGGGGAATAATATAATCCTGATATTTAGAACAAAAGTTAGATTAATACTTGGGCAAAGATACAACAAGAAGAATTCCACAAGAAATGTGTGATTTGAGGTAAGCTATAAGAACTTTGTACCAGGATGCTCATCAAAGTGCTATCTGAAACAATCAAAAATATGTATGCAGAATAATTGACAATGGAAGATAAAGAATTTATTATGCTATCCACAGAGACTATTCAGTGATCAAAATGGAATGTTACAAAAACATGAAGGGAAGGGAAAAGCATCTGGAATACAATGATGTAATTATGTAAAAATATAACTATTTTACCTATGCAGCATGGACAGCCATGTGTGAAAATAGAACTGTTAACCTATGTATGCAGTGTGGAGAGCAAGCTTCCCAATGATAAGTAGGCAAAGAAAACAGATTATAAAAATATTAACAATGGCTATGGGATTGTGATATAATTATTTGTAACTTTAATAACAATCCTTATATTTTTATGCTTCCAAAATGTTCTTCATGAGCTGATGAGCTCTTCCCACCCCTGTGGTATGGGGTGTTAATTCTAGAGTAGCATTTCTCAACATGTCGGTCACAATCCCCTGGGGGGGGGGAGCAAATGATTTTCTCACAGGGTCACCTAAGACCATCGGCAAACACAGACATTCATATTAGGATCCTTATTACTCTGTTGCCGGCTCTGTGGCTGGGTGGCTGGCCCCTGGCATTCTACTCTCCTTTTCTCGCTCCTTATGCTGGTCCCTCCATTTTCCTCCTCTTTGTTTTCTCTGGCTGCCAGTCCCCCCCATTTTTCTCTCCTGCCTAGCCATTAACCGACCATCCAGCTCTTTATTAGACCAAATCACACAGCTTTACAGTGTTAAACAAATGCAAAATAAAAAATGCAACACATCTTTGCATCATTAAACAAATATTCCACAGCATAAGTGAATGTCACATGTTTTCATCTAATATTCCACAACTCTCCTACGTATCATTTTTTTCATAAAATAAGAAAGCCTGATGTCTCAGCTGCATCCTACTCCTCCAAGCCAGTGTTTCATGGATTTCAAAAAGCTGAGGAGTCACTTCAGATTTATCTATCAAGTAAACAACGATTTCTGGCCTGCAGCTCTCCAGATTTGGATTCTCCAGTGTTGGGTGGGGCTCGGGGATAGTTATCTTTACCAATCTCATTTAGACACAGGTGGTCTACAGACTATGTTTTATGGTTTAGTTTAAATTCTTCTTTTTCCACCGCCATTTTTCGTAATTTCTTCTTGGTTGTGCAAAGAAGGAAGTTGATTTAGACTTTTATTGGTGTATTGGTTATGTGGCTTCTCAAAAATAAATCCACTTTTAAAAGCATTTTCTTATAGCTGTCTATCCATTTCAAAGAGCCAATGGCCAAAGCAGCTCAAAAAATTCTTGAGGTTTAAAAACTGATTCTGATCATTGGTTACCCCCAATGCTATACAGTATGTACTTTATTTAAGGGCTTGAAACACTTTGAAAAGGGTTAATGGAAAACTATTACCCTGGAGAACTATGACAGAATTAGTAAGCAACAAGATAACTCGACTCATTTCAAAGATACAGATATTGATTATATTGAAGAAAAGGACGATAAGAGCATTTATCATTATTTTCTATTTTCATCTTTTCTCCATAGCAACTATCCACAAAGAGTAGCACACTTGCTGAGATCTGTAGAGCAGTAAACTGGTTTCCTATGGATGATGGACAGCCAAGGAGCGGCACTGCGGGGCTGTGAGCAACGCCACACACTCAGCCTCGGCCGCCATGCTCCATGCTCCTCATGGTCCCCCATGGTCCTCAACCACTGAGTGTTGAAACTCCTTGGTCACTGATTCCACAGCACCCAACCCTAAAATCAGCTCCTTCAACTTCCTTGATGCCCTCCTGAGGCCATGTTGTCAGTAGGAAACCTGTACTGGATCTGTTTAATGTGTCCATGTGCTGGAGGTGACTTAGGTGCAGGCTAGTAGTACAGTTCTTTCAATATTTTCACCAGACATATTTTAAGAATATTGGTCCTGAAGCCCCTACAGTCAGCAGAGGCAAATTTACAGCTTTGCTTCTAAGAACAAAACTCCCTCAGGCACCTGCGTCCAAAGGCAAAACTAGAAAGGAAATGAACTCCTGCTTAAAGACAGCTCACCTTATTTTATGAGTTATCAATTTTCTAGCTGGCACGCAGTCCACCCACCACTGGGAGATTTTTACCCCCATTTCAAGCAAGCACTGAACTGCAAAAAATGGCCAGTCTGCATTCTAGCAAACAATTCCGATTCCCGAAGATGAGGCGCGGGACACAGTCTCCGTAAATGAAGTCGGGGCTGGGGGGCAGAAAGACCTGTGATGCAGGCCCCCAGTGCACATGTCTCTGCAATGCTGCATTAAGTCTGTCCCCGAATTCCATTCCAGTCCAGGATGACTGAAGCCTGGGCTCTGATGGAGCACTTTTCCTGTCTTTAGGGGAGCTCTGCCAGGTGACTGGTCAACTACAATGCAGAGCACTTGATTTCCTTTTAACTGCTCTAGTGACCCTGGAGCCAGGGCTTATCAGCTTCTCAAAAATGAGAGAGGACTAAATAGCTTCTCCCCCGCCTCCTTATTGGTAAAGTCAGTCTTCTCAATGGAAATTGACTGCAAGATGGGGTTAAAGGTTAACAGGATATACTTCAGACTATGGTGTGCAAGAAAACACAGTGAATAGATGTGGTTCCCTTAGTGCGTCCACTATGGAGACAAAAATATAAGAATGGACTCTTAAAAACCATGAGGATAAACTTAGCTAATAAGCCAGCGAAAAACTGGATACATTTGACTTCCCCTGAGTAATCACAAATATGTACGATTAGATCCAGCTCTGCCTTATCTTAGTATTTTTTCCGAGCTTTATTTTGTTTGGAAGGCAGAGAATTGCAGAACTATATGAATATTCAGTTGCATGTTGTAAAGTCAGATGTTTACACAACTACTTGGGAGAAGTGCCAGAATTAACTTCAAAGATGAGTGAAGGACCTCTTGTCCAACAGAACACAACGCTCTTCAAGTATGAGAATTTGGCCCTCGCAAACTGCCATTACTGCTGGATATGAAACCGGCCCTTTAACAGACGGGCAGCGCGCTTTTCAGCCTGCTGATAGCCTAGTAAAAGACAGTAGCGTTCTCAAATTACATGACCTAAAAGGAGTTAGCAGAATATAATTAAGAAAGGCATACAGCAGGCTGTCAAAAAACGAGGAACAGACTAGGGGAACACGAGAGCTCTAAACATCAATATCAAAATAACCTTTGGATTAGCAGGGAGAAAAACCATTCTTTAAGCCATGGGAAAACAAGCACCAATGGAGTCAGAACAGGAGCAGCATAGTGTGGGACTGTAGGTCCTGATAAAATGAAAACACAGCCAGATTTCTTCTTATGAATGTGATAAAGATTCCCTGGGAGGTGGCTCTGCCAGGAAGGCACAGCCCTCTGCTATGCTCCTGTTGGTTCCTGGGAGTTACTGACTCAAACACAGGTTCTGTAGGGGACAAAGGGAGGGCTCGGTCATCTGCTCACCTTCCCGTCTCCTCTTTCATTTTTTCCAGCTCTTCTTCTCCCAGGTTCCCGGGCTTCTGGGTACCTTTCTGTTCCACCTTTCCACCCTTATCATCTTTCTTCTTTCCAAATCTGGAGGGGAAGAACAAAGTTAATAACTCACACTTTTTCCTTGGCAAATGTAAGGTGCATATAACATGAGCTCATGCAGCTCTAATTCTTTAGTCTAAATAACACAACAACAGTAGGCATGAAACTGAAGTAAAATCAGATTACAGAAGCAGGAAAATAACACAGTTACTGCTTTTTCTTTTTTCTCTCCTCTCTTTCCTTCTTTTCATTGACATATTTTGTATCGAGCATAGCATTGTGTCATTAGAGGTGAACAATTCTGACTATGAATTCAAAGAAGAATTAAAACACAGAATGATTACCATCCATATGTAACTAAAAACTGAACAGTTTTCTAATGAGACCCTCCAGAACTTCAGTCCGTTGCCATTTTAAGGTAAGATACACGAGATTATATAATTACAGGTAACAAGGGAACTTACTGAATATTCAGTTAAACGCTTTCCTATTATCAAGGAAGACTCAAAAGCCCTGGGGGAAAACAGGAGGGAGTGTTTCTGAAGTGGATACACACTTCTCCTTGGTTCTGTCCAGGCCTGGGATTAGAACTTGTCTACACTGTGTGCTCTTCTCTTTCTTCCAGGTCACAGTTACTCTACAGCAGTGCCCCCCGGTTCCCAAGATGCTCTAGGTAATGTGATTAGCATAAATGTCACATCAGTAGCTACTTGCACAAAGCGGCAACGGTGGCGCATAACAAGAACGTCGCGTTTCCTCAGTGTGTGTAGGAAAATCTGAAAGGAAAGGTGGCTATGGCTGAAATCCAAGTAGGACCTGCCCATCACGCGGCAGTCACCATGGAGGAAGTGATAAGGAGAAAGGTACTCCATGATGCAGGTTCTGCAGTGTAGGCGGATTCTCCTCAAATCATTTTACCTTTAAATATCTAGTCCTTTTAAATTAAATAGCGAATTTTAACTATGTGTGTTAGCACCAATATATCATCTGATTGCCTGTTTGTCCATCTGTTCATCCATCCTTCCATCCGTGCATCCTTTCACCCATCCATCCACTTACCTACCTATTTGAAAGCTGGGCGTGCTTCCAAACTAGCTCTGCTTAAGCTAGCCTTCTTCCCCTTCGTTGTGACAGAAACTAGAATCTCTTTATGTGAAGATGTGTTATAAGATTTGAAGATGGTCTTATCCATCCCCAACTAGAATCACAATTTAAAAATAAATCACAGAATGATCTCTTGTGTACATCTCCCTTTGAAGTTCCTCTTTGGGTTGTGTTTCTGGTCATGGAAGCAGTGCTAACAAACGGCCACTCTGAGCATCACACCCGGGAGGCTCAAGGCTCAGAAAAGACTGCTGTTAGCATGGCCCAGACCGCAGAAAGGCTTCCAAGTCTTGACTCTTCTCTTCAACCTACATTTTCAGTTAAAAAGTCTTTTCTCGCAACCCCCCTCACCCACTCTTATCTACTACGACAATTTTCTTGCTGCACTCAGTCTTTCCTGGGACATTGGTCAACTGTCGCCCTTAGCTTCATTACTTAGCTTAAGGTCCTGTGTCCATACATACATACTACCAACCAGGAGCCATGATCTTAGAGAAAACTGTCTCCCCTAGAAGATAACAACTGTCTATGAGTTCAGGTTCTCACTTAGGGGTGAGGGCTCACACACCCCTTTTCCCTTTCTACTAGAATACCGATTGTCTTGATCTTACTAAGGTCTTTCTTACTAAAGCAAGCACAACTGCTGGGCGTTCATGAGCTCAGGGGTCATGCCTGACCACAAGACGCTGGCATGCTCCAGTCCTCCCCACCCCTGTGGCTCTTAAGATCTTTCTGCTCCCTCTTCCATGATGTCCCGCTTGTGGCCCCACGCTCTGCTCACGCCCACTCTCTGCACTTTCATTCCTCCTCAGTCTTTCTATTCTGCCTCCATTTCTGGAACAATTCCTGCTCGTCACTGAAGATATGACCTGTTATCATTTATAGATGCAGCTAGGAAACCAAGAAAAAAATGCAGACAAAAATAGAAGAACATCAACTTTCAAATATAATTCACATTTGCTGATATATTCAAGACCTCACTATAACCTAAAGTGCAGGAGATATCTAAATAAAATTTCCATGAATATATTCTGTAGCTTTCTACGCTGTACTCAGAAGCAGCTTAGAGATCATTCTTATTCTAAATACATTCACAGGAGAAGTTAGCACCTTCGTACATCACTTAGATAAAGAATTCTTCTCCCAAGATGCCATTGAATATAACAACATTTGGACAGAAAATTCAAAACATTGGCGGGCCAGGGTAGGAAAGATGCCTTGGAATTTGATGGGAGCACAGCGTAGCCAAACCACAAGCTTGCTCCCCTCCTCCATATCCTGCATTTTATTAAAAATTTGGAGGCTTTGGATTTTTCAGACATAAAAGTAGCCTTATGTTTGAAGGTTAAAAGTAACCTAGACCCTGTTTGCCTTCACGGTTCTCACCACACCCCAGGCATAATTTTCCTTTGGTATCTAAAATATTTCACCTGAGTTGCAGTTCAAAAGTAGCTTGCTTGGCTGTTAGTTTAACTTCTGCAAAGTACTTTCTTTTTATCAAGAACTTTTCATTAAATCAGCCAGTTCCACAGCGATTATAAATATTTCATTTAAAGTCCATTCTCTTTAAGTTTTCTACCCAATAAGAGTGGCAGACATAGCTGCAAAACTTCTCTTGCTAGAGTGAAGTGTACAGATCACACTGTTTCAGAGAGTCTGGGGGGTTGAGAACAGAATTAGGGTGCAATGGTCATGGTGAGGGCCTTGCTTTGTCACAGTGACCCCAACCCCACGGAAGTGAGCTGTATTTTATCGACGATCGCATTGGCTTCTCTCCCCAGCTTTGCAGTCAAGACGACTTCTTCAACTTCAGTGGCAGAGGGAACGGCAGGGCTTGAGTGGTGCGGAGGGAAGCATCCTTTTGCTATTTCCTTTCCTTAGCATCCCTCTGGGAAGTCATTCCACAGCATCCTTTCTTACCCAAGACCCAGAAAGGAGAGTCTGGGATGTTCATCTCCCCATTAACCACTCGTATGAGAAAAGTCATGAGGCCCTTGGCTGGCTGTGACCATTGCTTTGCATGTGAGAGGTTTGGGACAGCCTTCACATTCCAGGCTGTTCTGTTTGTTCTCTGAGAAATGTGAGGGCTGGCAACTCTGGGCCAGGCGCCTTAAGGAAACTGCTTCTGGGTTAGCCTGGCTTTAAGATACTGCACTGAGAAATCCTGAGCATACATATGGTTCCATCAATAACATTTTATTTTACATGACCTAGGTAGTCTGTGTACAGAATCCCATGATGGATCTTTTTGTAAAATGGAAAAATCACCTTTCAACATATTCTTTGTGCAAGTTTACATTTTCACAAATAAGTTTGCTTAAAACACTAGACCCTGTTCATTTCCACAGCGGTTACTTGAAACACTTTGTGGGAAACTTCTGTCCTTCCTTTTGTTCCTTTCTTCTTCCCCCTCTTCCCTCCTTTTTTCCTTCTCCTCTTTCTGCCTTCCTGCATTTCACTTATTCTTTACGAAGTATTTTTCAGCACCTACTGTGTGTCAGGCATTATAATAAACATGGGGTTTACATTCTCAGGGAGAAGACGGTCATCAGCAAGCACAACTGCATAGTAGCAAACTGTGAAAGTTGTTAGAGAGGATGATGACAGGGACTTCAGCAACTAAAACATGTCTAGGTGCAGAGATGATGCTTACCTGAAAATGGACAAAGACAAGGGTCCCCAAAGGGAGTGACATTATTAGCAGGTGTGGTCTTGTTGGAGGAAGTGTGTCACTGTGAAAGCAGGCTTTGAGGTCTCATATATGTTCAATATATGGACATCTCATATCCAATATTTTAGATCACTTCCTGTTGTCTAAGAGTCGACTCTCAGCTACGTTCCCATGTCTACTTGCACGCTGCCTTGTTTCCTGCCATGACAATAATGAACTGAACTTCCGAACTGTAAGCAAGCCACCAAAATTAAATATTTTCTTTCATAAATTTGCCATGGTCATGTCTCTTCCCAGCAGCAGAAACCCTAACTAAGACAGTGCATTCAGGAGGTCTAGCAGGTGAATCGGTGGGAAGTTTTGTCTGTGGTGAAAGCAGCACACACAGAGATGATGAGCCGGAGACGGCATGTTTCCCAGTCAGTAAAAAAGGGTGGCTGAAGTGAGAAGCACTTTCATGAGATGTGGGTAGAAAAGCAAGGGTTGGAAGTGTGAGAGGAGCCTGGAGTGGAGCGTTAGAGCCAGGGAAGGGTGCTCATTAGTAACAATGGGGACAGCGAGAAAAATGGTGGACTGAGAGAGGTGGCAGAGGGAAAGCAGGAGTAACTGTACTCTTTTGAGCAGAGGTGACAGAGTGGGAGAGGTATTTTCTAAAGATCACTGTGGCTGGAGAGCTGAAAAGCATCAAGAAAACAGCAAAACAGTAACAGGCTGCTTTGGGATGACTGTGGAGAGACAGGGAGGCCTGTGGCTCGACTAGAGCAGTGGCCACTGAGAGAAGACAATTATGTGCTTGTTAGCCAGTGAGGAGGGAGTAAAGACCTGCGTCTTTATGTGTAGGGTGTGCCCGCACAGTGTGCACGCGGAAGTGAGAGGACAAGGTGTGGCAGCTGCTTCTCTCTACCACAGAGGATCTTGGAATTAAACTCATGCCATCAGGCTTAGTGGCAAGCACTTTACTTGTTGAGCCATACTGCTACCATAAACATGATTTTGGAACACTTTCAAGAAACCTAAGCAAACAGACCCAGTACTAGCCGCAGTACCACCTCTGCAAAACTCTTTCATCTAAAGGATTTACAGAGGAAGGCGACAGATGAAAAAATTAAAAGAAAAACAGATTAAAGGAAGAATATCTGGAAAGTATGCTTGCAAAAGTATGCGAGATGACTGCAATGGGGTGAGTGTGGTGACAGATGGGAATGAGATCTAGCAGTCCAATGAGGAGGAGGCCGGCAAGTCTTCCCAGCCTTGGCAATGCACAGTG